TGTAAGGATGAGCATAATATTAGTATTTTTTTTTATTAAGAGTTTTGACTTGGATACAAGTCATTTGAGCCGTGTCTTCATTTAATTATCGGGATCCTCATTAAATATTTTCCATTGCGGTTCTACAACATTATGTTTTCACTTTCTCTTAAATAAGTTAGATCTCTTGTTTTTGCTTTCTAAATAGTCTTTTGAGCGGAAGGAGCGAAGGAGTCAATATTAACGTTTTTCACTTTCACTTATATCGCATTATTGTCACTTTGAACAAAAACTTTTATTTCGTAATTATTGGAATTTTCAGGATAAACTCTTTTGTAATTTGGTTTAAAATAAGGAATATAGTTCTCACTTTCTCCACCACTATTTCTTTCTTCGTATTTTCTTAAAAATATACTTAAAATAAAATTAATGTTTATAAAAACATTTTTCCATAATATTTGTAAATAAATGTGACTGTTCACAAAAATAACAGAAACTGCCAAAAAATTAAGTTGGCTTAGTGTTAATTTATATCGATGTAAGAAAAGCACTTTTAATGTATGATGTGCAGCATCGGTGTTTTGTAGAAAGGGCATAAGCGACATTTCGAAAATATTTAAATCAGGGGACCATATTTAAGGATTTCTGTACTATTTTAAAATATTTATATATTTAAAATTCAATTTTAAACCTTCACCTTAATCATAACCAAAATTAAATTTTAACCTTTTGACCGCTACTGACAAAAACTAGTTTCATTTCCTAGACATCAAGCCTATATAGCAGTGTGACATGTTATGAATTTCCACCTTATAATAATTATATTCTCGTAAGTCGAAGAAGATAACTGTACGTAAAATGCAACTACGCAACCATACTTAACTAGAATACACAAATGACACAAGGTATATCTTAATATTTATTCATAAATATCAATTGAAAATTAAAGGGTTTCATTGACGCTTTAAGGCGTCATTAGCGTAACAGGCATTGAGGATATTATTAATCAGCCAAGTTAATGTAAGACGCTTTAAAGCGTCCACGGCTGTCAAAGGGTTAAAACAAATTATAGATATAAAAACACAATGTACAAAACACCGACTTCATTATACCAAGGATATGAGCATCATTTTCAATGTGTAAGAATCGTGAAAACTAAAAATGGTACTTACTTGTTAATTAGTTTATCCAATGTATCGATCGATACATAATTGCAACATATTATGTGGATAAAAAACAACACTTTTCAAATTGCCCTTTGTGTTTGATCGTGCTGAAACCATCGAAAGATATTTTTATAGTCAGTGACTGTATAATACTGCAGGAATATGATTCAAATCGCGAAGGTAGTTAAGAATCCGCCATCAGCACGACATGTGGCCATTTGGAATAAATTTTACGCCATAAACTGAGACGGTGTTGCCGTTGCCAACTTTTATGTATGAAGTTTTCATTTATTCACATTTGCGTTAAAATGAATAATTATAATAACCGAGCGTTACAGCACAAAAACTTCTGAGTTCACCAAAATTCTATATACTCTATTATCTCATGTTAGATGTATTAATTTATCACATCAAATGACTTCAAACCAAAATATTTTGAGGGGTCTTACATAGTAATGCGATTTACAAGTTTGCAGTCCATAAATCAAGTTGATCCAATGTAGATAGCCACCTGTATTCAATGCAATCATCCACCTATATCCAATTCAGTTAGCCACCTGTAAGCATGTTACGCAAAGAAACGAATAAGTAATAATACAGATATTACATATAATTAAAGTTACACCACCCACATCGCCTACATAACTGTTTAAAGATGTTATCTGTTACCCAACGTCACTATTAACATAAGCACGTGTCGTTTTTTACTCAAATTGGAAGGGGAGGTCGGGGGACTTTAATTGCACTTTCATAAAGACCGGTTTCGAGTTATCTATCTATGTATTACTACAATGCATCCACAACAACCAATAAAGCGTATTGAAAAACTTAAGTAATTAGAAATGTGTTATCACACAAAGTGTAGTCAACATGTCATCATGTGTGACCAACACTAGCCCTATGTGCCTTCGTATTGTCATGGCTCCCGTTCAAAACGGTGATCGTAATCTTTGTTGTTCACCGTCGACGGTACTGAGTGAATCAAAAGAGCTGTATTAATTTTATGAGTTGTAGGAAATGAAACTATTTTTCCGGATTTAAATCACGTATATTTGGTTTTTCAAACAAACCGACGTTTCGGGCCCTTTACAGGTCCCAATGGTCACGGTTGACTGAGGTGGTACAGTCTTCAACCAGTTATGTCTAATATTAATGCAAACCACCCTATTTTTTCACTATAGTTACAATAGTTATTAATCAAATACCTTATTTTTAATTTTACTAAGAAAACATTCCAATTTACGCTACATTAAGTTTTACAAATTATTTAATGAATGAATTTTTATTAAGTTCAATTTATTATTAATTAATAATAGAAATTAGAATAAACTAAAACATATTAATTAGTACTGCAGTCTTATGTCTCTTTGGGATTTTTCATCAGAGGAAATACTGGATCCCAAACTGGTGGTACGGAGAAACCGTCTTCCCTGTTGAAATTAGGATGTTTTTTAATTTCAATGGCCACTCGCAGCATCCTGGGCAGACGCAAATTTGCCTGTCTGTCGGTTTTCTACTTCGGCGAGTGTGTTCGTGAGCCCATTTTACCGTACAGCGGGATATCTTCCTTGCTTGGTCGATATTCCCTTCAGCGTACTAAGCGCTTTTCGTCATTTTTTATTACGCGCACCCAGCAATGGAATTCCCTGCCACTGTTTCCGACCACTTACTACTTGACTATATTTAAGGTGCGACGGAATCTTCTGGGCGAACTCGTTCCATCGTATATATACACTATCTTTGTATTTTGTATATTTTTATGCATCCAAAAGCAACAATTATGACGCACTTTCATATATTTAACATATACACACTCATTGTACCACGCTTACTCTTCACATTCTTGATAAACACTGCTCTTTATTTTATCTACTGTACTCTTTGAATATCTTTCTTAAATTTTATTCTTTTCTTGGTCCCAAATAAACAGTTTTATTCTACTTGTACAGAGTTATTTTTAGCATACTCGTAAGCCATTTGTTGTTAAAAATACGATTGATGCTTGCCCGACGTGACGGCACCGCTGGTAACACAGGTTAACACAGAACAATAAATACAATAGAACTGGTTAATTAGCGTCTGACACGTGGCAACTATAGGTCTCGAAAGACCTATCTGAGCTCAGTCCACCATTTTAGCTTTGTATGGTATGGTTGTGTTATTCTTTCGTGCAAATTCTCTAAAATCCTAGAAAAATGCCTTATTGTGCTGTTTTTGAGTGCAAAAATAATAGCCGTACCAAAAATATTACCCGTAGTGGTATTTCATATCATCGGAAAGTCTAATTTTAATAAATTTTCAATTCTCTGCTCCTCGACATAATGTTTTTGTTACAAGAAACGAAAGTAAAGCTCACGCCCCTGTAACGTGGTCGCTTCTTTTTTGGAAAACTAAATTAATAACTCCGATTCGCCGTCGTATAACAATTAACCGTTAGATGGCAGCACATTGATTGAAATTTCAATATAATATCAAAACATCGTAACTTGTAATAATAGGTATTGATGGTATTGAACTTTCAACGATATGTCAACAGGGTAAAGTTTAAATTACATTAACAATCCAGAATTTGTTATTTCTTTGTAATTTTGAAACTACGACCAATAAATATCAAGATTTTGAAGTGTTTCAAATTAAGAATGTGTGAGTTTTGGCGAATTCGGTTCTGATAGTAATCGAGGCTTGAGGCACTTCCATTGCTTTTTTCTTCCGTGGGTTAAATCCTATTGCGGGGTCTGGAAAATGTCTGACTGGCCAGCAATCAATCAATAACTGATTAATGTAATTATTTCTATAGTATTTGTAATAGCATCAATCAAGTTATTACCTTGACTAGAGCAACTGCATTTATTTTAAAAAAACAAAATTGAAAAAATAAAAATGTTTCGATCTTCGTTGCTGATGCTACAATTACCCCTTAATGTGCCTTCGTGTTGACTAACTAAATATAGGTTTTACCGCAACAAACAAATGACAAGCGCGTACAACAGTCAGTGCGGGAAACATTACTGAACATAACACACCCCAGCACTTTTATAAAAATCGTTATAATATCATTAGTAACTTGTAATAAAATTTGAGCACGCAAAGTTGCGTCAAAATGGCCAAAGTGAAATTTGAGAAGGATCGAAGGCGAAAATCCAGCGTGAATTTCATCAATTTTCAACGATTCCACTTTTTAGACAGGTAAAAAACGCGCGCTTGGTGAAGCTGTGTCTAAAATATAGATAGCCCTAATGATAGCCAACCTCCGCTAGGAGATGGCACTTTAAGAGGAAGAAACACCTCTAAATCGGAAGTGTAGAGACGCGATAAAAGTCGCCAAGTCTAACTACTCTAAGATTTTACACATGAAATTAGTCGATAACTTTTTTATGCTTTCTTTAAGAGTTATAAAGTTTCACATAATACATAATTTTTAAAATGTAGTTCGTATTATTTTTATGTCTTTCATGTTATAAAAGCACATTTGACGATCACATGTGGTTTTATTATACCAAAGGTACGAATAGATATAGTTTTAATTTTTTTTCTTCAACGAAAACAAGACGTCAAAGCTTTTTTTTAATAAAAATGTATGTGCGCATTTGACCACCATCTCACCTGATGGAAAGTGACGATATTGTCTATAATGGAACACAATAATAGCCAAATAATGTCTATCCACTCTGACCTTGAATAGGGCCAAGTTAAACCTTCAGGGAAGAAGTCTGCAGGCATTCCACTCCATAACCGTTCGTCATATAAATGTGTGAATCTACTTACTACAAGTTCTGCACTACTTACGCATTACTTACTAAACCTTACGTCCCAGCTTATACATGAGATAAAATTCAGATTTCTTAATTGCTACAGGAGCCGCGAGTCCCGAAGTCGCATCAATCGCCCGCCCTCAGCTCAGTACAGCGCGCTGGGCGAGCGAGTGCGCACAGCGGCGCCCAGTGCTCTACAGTGTGCTCTGTTCTGCGGCGGCGCACGGTGCCCGTACGAGCGCCCGCACCGTCCAGACAACGCCATTCAGGGGCTCTACTCCGATTGGTCAGTTCAAAACGATTTTTATGTATAAAGCTCACAAGCACGTAGTCGTAACAAGTGTGCCATCTCAGAAAAAAAATCTATGTTTAAACATAGAACTAAAAAGGTTGTATGATTTGAAACAACAGTAAATTTAAAAAAAATGGAAAGTAAAAAGCACTAGTGCGAAAAAACCAATTTTCGGCACGATTTGTAGTACGAAAAATACCACTTTTTGAGCAACTGTATTAAAAAAAATATTTTTTATTATTTATTTATTTGAACTTCGTTGCCATTCAAAAATTTTCTGTTTATTGTTATAAAGATAATATCTCTAACAATGCCGTGCTGTTCTATTCGGTGGTGTAGGAAAAACAGCAACACATCTAATTACAAAACAAACGCAATCACATTTCATCGGTAATTAAATATTCAATATGTAATTTTCGAATTGTCGTCCTTTATAGGAAAGCTCAAGTTAACTGGTCGTTTTGAAGTGAAACAGTTGACAACACCCATTGACGACACGCGTCAATTGTTTCGAACTCGAGCTAGCCAATCGGAGCGCAGTTGTCACAGTAATGATATGGCAGAATAGTTTTCAAACAAATTAAATGACATTTCGTCTCTATTTCTGGTTATATACTCAATGTTCGTTACACACAAAATAGTACAAGTGGAGGACTTAATGCCATTAGGCATCTCTACACGTCAAAATTAAATAGTAAATTCATCCTAAATAATATAGAAAAAAGAATTGTTCCACGACTATTCTATTAGTATTATTTTTATATAAATTTTGATGTTTATTATCTATATTTCGACTGAAAAACTTGATTCTAAAGTCAATAATTTTTTTTATAGTACCACGTAACGGGACCGCGGAAGTAATTGGTCTGTGGATGTGACGAACAAGTTGTGCCTAGTGGTAATGCTACGGCCAAACTAAAGTTTAATGGCATTAATTATCGCATTAATCGACTACTAACTCTATATAGCCTCGATTAATACAATAATCTATTCCATCCATATCTTAGGTATTATATTATAAAATATGTATTTATCTAAGTATTTATATAATTTGTAACAATTAAATATTTGTATATTATTTTTATATTTTTTTTTCCTTGTTTTGTTGTGCACATATACCCGTTCTTTTAGTTATAGTGTCCTGAATTTAGGTCTGCAGGAAGAAATTTCTATTAGAAATAAGCAGAACCTTTTGTTTTTAATTTCGCTTGTATTCTTTGTGACTTGTATTTTTCCTGTACAATAAACTATTAAATAAAAATAAACAAAATAAATAAATAATCAACGATAATAAACTTCGCGTGGCTAAGATAAGCGCCACACACTCAGAGCTTTAAGTCGCAAAGATCTGAGGAACACTGCTACTGCGCCTGTTACACTGAGACATAAGTTGACAAGTCCCATGTGCCTGTAATTACACCAGAACTCAAGCGGGGCGCAGTAATAATCTCTTTACAGCTTGACGGCAGAAATAGGTATGGTAATTAAAATATATAATGCGATCCCAATAAATATAAAAACACAAGATACACATACTCGTAAGCCCTTTGTAACCCATCTTAAGAGCTATATACAAAGTAAAGCTTTTTATTCTCTAAAATAATTCTTTTTAGAAAATAATACTTAAAAGCTATAAGAATTACTAAATATATAATTTGTAAATACACACATCAAAAGTGTCTAGGGATCAAGTACGTTTAAGAGTATTGCTGCAATTAGGGTTTATATATTAACTTTTTTGTATCGCTATTGATACTTTTTAGTGAGTTTTAACATTTAAATAAGGAATATTGTTTAAAATTCGATAATAAGAAGAAAATCGATTGTCAATGTGGTTTTGTATAAAAATGAGTTATAGCGTTTTGACAAAATCATTACAATATCTGCATCGGAACTGAAACAATTTACATTATTATGGAGAGACGACATCATTTAACCCGAGAAGTGATGATGCGAGCCGTCGGAATGTTGGAAGCTGGTTCCAGGCAACGTGCTGTAGCTTTCACTATTAACACTACACAGAGCGTCATAAGTCGCCTCTGGACGCGCTATCGCATGACGGGCAGCGTGGCCGAGCGACATGGAGAACGATCTCGCATCACGACTCGCAGACAGGACCGGTATATCCAAAATACTGCTCGACGGAATCGTACCATGACCGCCATGATGTTGGTTACGAGGCTCCACAGCTCCTCAGGCTTGCTAATAAGCGATCAAACAATCCGAAATCGTTTACGTGAAGTGGGTCTGCGATCTCGAAGGCCGCTCAGAGTTCCACCTATTGCACCCTGCAATCGCAGGACCCGTTTACGATGGGCTCGCGAACACAGAAACTGGGAGGAAGAAGACTGGCGCTATGTGTACTTTTCGGATGAATCCCGCTTCGGTATGAGACCGGATACAAGACGTACTCGAGTTTGGAGAACATCTGGACGTCATGAACGTTTGAGATATTGTCAGGAAGTTCATCCATATGGTGGGGGAACAATAATGATATGGGCCGGTATTTGGATCGGCGGAAGAACCGATCTCATTTGGATCAGGGGTAACCTCAATGCTCAAGTTTACGCAGAGAGGATTGTTTCAGATGTTATCATCCCTTTGCGAGGCCAGTTGGGTGATTCATTTCAACTAATGCATGACAACGCACGTCCACACACGGCTAGAGTCGTAACACGCATTCTTGCCGAAGCTCGTATCAACGCTCTGCCGTGGCCTGCTCAATCGCCAGACCTCAATCCAATTGAGCACGCATGGGATATGCTTCAAAGAAGAGCTGTGCCGAGTATGCATACCGTACATACTCTACAACAATATTTTGACTTGTTACAAAACACATGGGCGGCCATTCCTCAAAGTGATTTTGATGAACTCATCTTAAGCATGCCAAATCGCTGTAATTGTGTGATTCGTGTTAATGGTGGAAATACAGATTATTAATTTTCTTATCTTTACAATAAAAATGAGCAAAATCATCATTTTCGCCATTTTTTTATCATTTAATTGACGCCGTTAATTTGAGTTTTTTTCCACAATTTGCAAAAACATCAATTTTAGTTTATTTTTATTCAATATAGGGGTAAGCGGTTAAATAAAACATAAGCATTAAAGTAAGAAGTCGTCCTGGAAGACTGGATTTGGTAAATATTGCTTAAATAATTTTTATTTCAAAAATATTCACTTGATCCCTAGACACTTTTGATGTGTGTATTATATCAAATAGCCAGACATCAGTAATTTTCAGGTAAGTTTTTGTACTCAATTTTAATGACAATTTTTATTATTTAATTGCTCGAATATATCATCGTCAAATATTAAAGAATATTTCAGGTTACCCCACTCGAATATTAAATAATACTTCATTTTTTTTTATTTATTGTATTTATTACATTTAAAAGTATTAAAAAAACAAAACATTCCAGTATAACATAAACTTAACTAAGTTTTTCTGTATACCGCTCATTCGTCGTACAAAAATATTTCTATGTGTAGTGTGCGCGTTCGTACTCCTTCGTGTTGACATTAAATCATAAATATTCTATAAATATTGAAATAAAAAGAAATTGTCACCAAAATTGAGTACAAAAAAACTTACCTGAAAATTACCCACATACGCGTAGAATGTAAAAGGAATTACTAATATTTATTGTTGATATTGCCCAAAATTTCTGTTTATTTTTTATTATTAATTGTTCCTAATTTTATTTTAATAATGTAGAGTTTTATTATTAATTATTCCTAAATTATATTTTAATAGTGTAGTTAGTAAAGTGAGAACATAATGCCCTTAGAATGTAGCAGTGCCCCCACGGGGTGTTACATGTCAAGTATCATTAACATATGAACACGTGTTATATAACCATATAACTTGCAAATAAATAATATGAGCATGAGTAGGTAAGATGGCAGTACTTCTTTGGACGAATTCTTTCACAAGGAATTCTACTGCTAATAAAATAAATAAAAATAAAAATGGCCGTCATGACCCCAAACTTCACGTGACAAAATCCTTGTTCTACAGTTATTTTAATGAAATGGAAATAAACTAAATTTCACGCACAAATAAAAAATAATAATGTAATCGGCCTATCACGCACTACTACGAGCTCCAATGACCCACTTTTTTAGTAAACATGTAATTACGTAAGCAACATAAAAACATTATTTATGCTTATGTGGCTTCATTAATAACTCTTATGCGTCTCTACGTTTTATATATCTAGTAGCAGTACAGCTCCTTGTGAAAGAGTTTGTCCAGGGAAGTATAGTCAACTTATCTATTTCTGCCGCCAAGCAGTAATGTGATCATTACTGTGTTCTCGTTTTAAAGGTGGTGAAATTAAAGGCACATGGAACTTGTCAACTTATGTCTCAGGGTGATGAGAGCAGTGACAGTGTCACACAGATCTTTGCAATTTAAAGCTCTGAATGGCACTGCAATTGCTATGGTCAAGTGTGTCGTTTGCCACCAGGCGCACGACGTGTTCGTCGTCCTGGGTCTCAGGTTTATAATACGAACTTAGAATTCGACTAACCAAAGTTGGCGAGTTAAGCAAGTTTTTCTCATATTTACAAAACGAGCAGTTTTCTATATCTTTCTTTGTCACGAGCTAGCCTGAACAGTTGTTCCACAGTCGGTCCATTGCCTGATGTTATGAAGTTATGACATTTTCCTTCTTCCAATCTTCCGCTTCCAGCCACTTTGCCCATCATTATTGTGTGTAATAGATGATATATGTCATGTCGCAGTACATGACCCAAATAGGCAACTTTCCGCTTTGAGTAAGTTTAATCATGAAATTAAATTAAACTTTGAATTTACTTCGTAATTTCTTGCTTAAACTTAGGCAAAGTTCGTTTTATAAATACGAAAAACTTGCTTAGCTCGCCATCTTTGCTTAGTCGAAATCTAAGTTCGTTTTATAAATCTCACTCTTGGTATCAAAAAAATATATACTCACTGGACTTATGTGTGGAGTACTTCATGTTTGACA